AATGCATCCTGGGACAGGGCGGGCTGTGAAGGATCCACCGGACCCGTCCCTCAAATCGAGGCAAAAGGAGGATGCTTTTGTGGGCCACAATTGGAGGAGTCTGAATTTGGACAGCCTTCGGRGCAGTGAAGTGATGTAGGCAGCTGACAAATTCAACCTTTGAAGGATGCAGCCCCTGAATTTGGACAAAGCAATTGCCTTAGTCGGAAGAGTACATGTATCTTGTCGTTTTGTTCATGAGTGATGGCAGGATGAAGAGGGAGATGGATTGGGGTCTTATCTGCAGTAATGAAGGCAATGCTCTGCTGTTGTAAGGAAGGAACTGAGCCAAAAGGCAGAYCTCTCTATTTATTGGCCCGTCCAGTTTCAGCTTTGGCCTATGGTCTCAAAGTATGGCTCATAACTGAAGGAACTATATCCTGGATGCATGCAGCTGAAATAAAGTTTCTATCTGGATTTGCCGGGCTCTGCCTTGGAGATAATGCGAGGAGCTCCATCATCTGGTCATAGCTCAGAGTGGAGCCAGTACACGTCTGCATCGTGAGAAGGTGGGGGAGGTGGTTCAGGGCACCCCTCTCTAGAGACGTTTTGGGCATGTTGTACTGGGATGAAACCCTGGGGCAGACCTGGAAATTACAGGAGAGATTTGTTACATCCTCTCTGACCTAGAAACATCTCGAGATCCCCTAGGAGTAGCTGGAGAGTGTCACTACGGAAAGGGATGTTTGGGTTTCCACTCTGAACCTGCTGTCCCTGCAACATGACCATGAAAAAGTGGAAGCCAATCGGTAGATGAATGAACACACTATCAAGTGGCTAACTTGTGCATAGCATATCTTCAGTGTTGAAGTTGTCGCTGTGTAAAAAATAAATAAATAAAAGTTCAAGCATTTTATAAGGATGGGGGGTAAAAGTGCTAAATACTTATTGAATGAAAAATAGGATTTTCTACATAAGTATACCTGTTGATGTATTTACTTTTTAGGCTTTAATAACAACTGCTACTAAAAAATCCAGACATATTCAGTTTGTGCACTTTTATGATTTGAGGTGTCGAAAAAAAAGATGATGTTGAGGAGCTGTAATTTGATTAATTGGGTAATTCTTTTATAGTTTTGTATTGTTTTGTACAAATACCTGCATTATTATTTATATTTAGAGATTTTCAACAACACGTTTTTTGTACTGTAATTTATACACTGGTAATTATAGTTAGAGAAAACAATCCAACATGACATATCACAGCTCAACTGATTCATCTTTACAATACAGTACGTACAATAGGCAGGCCACATAACTAATTTATGTTCTTGCCGTCAGTGCCATTATTGTGACTGTGTCAGTTCTGTAATTTCCATTATTGTTGTTTACATGACTCTCAACTGCAAGTTCCTAGTCTGTGTATTCACTGGCAATGGCAATAAAACTGATTCTGATTCTGATGCCGGATCACTCTGCTTGTGTAAGTCACATTTTATTTGTGTTTGCAATCATCCTCACATCCAGCATTGTGTATTTTTTCCTTGATAAATTTCTCCTCAAGCTGCAGAGGTCCAGATGAGAATCCTATCACCAAGGGCAAACCATTGATTTGAAATGAGATGTTTAACTTACTGTATATCCTGTAGTGTTCATAAACTTTATCTTTCAGGGTCAATCAGGCTTTTAGGAATTTTTAATCATTGCTCCTTTTTGATATCGTGAAATAGTTCTGTTAAGCTGAAGTTTGATTATATTCACAGGCAACTGAAGGTACTTTGGCAGTATAGTTGTAACAATTGAATGCGATTTATAGAAAGAGTGACCCTATATTCTAGGTTTGGGCAAAATTGGCAAAATAATTAATCATGATTAATTGTGGTATTTAGCCGATAACGATTAATTTGGTGATTAATGCCCCCCTGGACACCCTTACGTCCTGGTCACATGACCAATTTACTGGGAAAGATTTGCTCTTTGTAAAAATATGTTCCAAATTGTGTCAAAATTACAGACTTCAGGCTATAAATCAAATTTTAAATTGTGTTGATAGACCAAGAAAACTGAAGTTATGTTAAATAAATTACAGAACGTTTTTTTTTAATGTTCGTCATATTGGAAGCAGAAAGGAGCATTGAGCGGACTGGTAGCATTAATCATATTAATCGTTAAGTGCCAAAAAATAATCGATTAATGTTTTTCTGACGACTAATCGCACACAATACGATAATGCCCAACCCTACTGTACATATCCATATTGTTTTCTTTTGGCTACTCCCTCCTGTTTGGATCGCCACAGCAAGCGATCACAAACAGAGGATTTGGCAAGTGTTTTATACTGGATGCCCATCCTGTTACAACCTGGGCTTGGACCTGCAGTCTCAAGCCTATTCGACCATTGACCGCTGAACTACCATACCCCCCTGTATCCACATTATAACAAATTTGTGAAAGAGCCCTTGCTGTTGTTTTGCTTTTCAGAGAAGAAATTCTTCGTTAGTCTGCCCGTGTTACAATCACTCCCCCCACAGTAACAAAAATGGTCAACTGCTTGCCAGGCTGTCTGGCTGTCTGTGTTGGTGTCATTGAGACGTGCCTGGTACTTCCAGTCTCTCTTATTTGTCTCAATGTACAATGACCCATCATTACTTCCATGTCAAGGAGATGGAGGCAACCAATCATATCTTGTCCAGAGGGAATGCTCACAACCAATCAGATCTGGAATCCCCATAGTAACTTGCGCTTCGAAGCCCCGGCACAGCCAATAGGAGCGGACTGTGGCACTTTGCTGTTAGAGTTTAATGGCCTGTTTCTGTTGTCATTAATAAAACGGTGTAACCTTTGACAAAGAGGCTTTTATATTTTTAGTAAAAAGCACAATCTCGTAACATGAAGATACCCTAAAAGAGCCTAATATGTAGACACGTGCACACTGACACTGTGGATATTTATCTGCCCATCCACTTTACAGATCAAAAATGATACTTAGGCCATTTGTCAACAGAACATGTTTTACCCTTCATACTCTCCTCTGGCTCTCTGGCCAATCACCACTGCTTCGACTTCATCCATTTCAGCACAGACACTACCATTAGCATAAAGTAGGTCACTCCAGGCCAGAAGGGAGCCAGACTCAAGTTTGCATGGTCACTACCACTCCTATTAGTTTAGACTGCTTCTGCCAGGCTGTGCCATTCTGCTTGCCTCTAAACTGTGTTGTTCTCTACCCCGTTCCCTCCTTATGTAATGGCTGAGCAGCGAGCATTGTGTCATAGCCGTTTCCATGGTAAGAGTAGCTGAGAATGTATCACAACACAGCATGCACCAGCCTTGGTACTGCTGCTGGGAATGACTTACAGTTTCTCTTCCATGGTCTTTCTTGGTTATTATGGATTGCCCCTCTCTTCTTCTTTTTTTATTCCCTCTGAAAGAAAATTATTATATATAAAGCCCATGCTGCTTTAACCAAGAAGATTTGTTTTGGAACAAGTCTTTGCTTCTTGTATGCAGCAGTTTCCCTTCTATATATTTAAACCAAATTCCATTAGCTGCTTTCAGATTTTCAGGAGATGGCAGTAATTAATAAGACATTACTGTACTTTGATCAATATTTAATGTTTTTTAGTCAGTGCTGTAAAGTTCAGCATGTGGTGACTTTAAGGGTAAAGAAAGGAGCAGAATCAAAAKCACGACTGTACGCAGCATGAGAGACATACTCAAAATGCCAGGCTCTTCTTAAAGTTTTGTGGTACAAATAAAACCCCTGCTAATTTTACATCTTGAGTTTACTTTACCGGTGGCAGAGAAATTGCTGTAGCATTACTCATGTAGCAATTTACCATAAAAATAAAACCTACAGTTGTTTTAAAAAATACTTTTAAAACAAAGGTTTGGAGGAAAATATACATGTTGTTACACAACTTGTCTTAGCTTCTGCGTGTTAAAGTCTCACAAAAGTTGGGTGAAAAAGCATCATTCTGCTTCCACAATGCAGGATAACGCTAAAATAAACCCTTTGTTTTCTTACCTAAATAAATAAATGAACTATACTTCATTTCTGTAACATTGTTCTACTCTCAGCTGGCTCTCTGCCACGTTTACACTCTTATCCTGCTTCAATTATTCAGCTCCCCCCGGATTCCAGAGAGACTTCTGTTACATATTAGATACATGCGTATCTCTGCAGGCATCCACTCTACAGACACTAATAAAACAATGCCCCTTACTGGAAAAACACAGAATGTAAACATTGTTTTTCTTTTCAGTGTTGAGCTAATCTTTAGAAATGTATCTGCTCATTATTTAGACCTCAGACCCTAATTCCTAAATATTAGAAATCCTTAAATCAGTGAAAATGAATAAAGCTGATACCAAAACAACTTTCCATCTGGAGGAAAGAAGGAAGTAAAGTACAACTGTGTGATTGGGATTGAAAGATTTTTTTAAAGCTYATGCATTCCTTAGTTTGCTGCCTCGAATATTAAGCCATAAAAACATGATTTGTAATTAGTGCAATGCTACATTAGTCACATAACCTCAAAAAAAGTGAATCGCAACTTGTCTTTTGCTTCCGAGTGACCCCCACAAACCAGAACAGGTGGGTTTGGCTCAGGCAGTATACAGACACATGGTATTGTGAAGTCACTCTGCCCTTAATGTGAGTTGGTTTTGCTTGGTTTTGTGTAACGAGTGGGTTTTTTTTCCCTTCACTACATGCTGGAGTGCACAGTCTGCTGCTGTGGGCAAAGCACCGTGCTCTCATTTCAGTGTCTCTGGGGAAAACTGTGCCATCAGAGAGAAATGATTGAATCTCTACCTCTGCTCCATTTTCACTCATTTTCTCTTGGAGTGGACCAACTTGTGTGCGCCCAGCACAGACTTTAGTGGGGTGTATGCAGATGTCCATATGTGCACGAAACCAAGCCTGATTTATCTTTTCACGCCGTTTTGTTGCCTAGATTTGTGATTAGTCATGGAGAGACTGAAAGCTTCTTTTTTTAACATGTAAAAACTGTGTTTTTGTTTTGTTTGTGTGCAATTTCCAGGCGCTGGTATGTATTGAGGATGAGTGGAGTTGGTGAAAACTCATCTGACCCTGCCAGGGCAGAGGCACGAAAACGCAAAGAATGTTCTGCTGAGCCTAAAGGACCCAGGTAGGTAGTCATCTAAAGGGCTACAATTACCGTATATATATTTTTTTGTTACCTCGCCAATTTCTTTAGGAAAATGTCAAGTTCTAACCCAACTGCACCACATTTTTCCTTTAAGAAGACTGTGAAATGAAACTTTATTTTCATTTATTGTACCAGAAAGTGTTGGAGTGACATTTAACTCCAGACTGGGTTCTTCAGAGCTATGAACCATAATCCAGTCCAGTCCAACATTAATGTAAGGCACTTCATGCACCAAAGGCCAAAGAGGTCTTCAGAAACATTTAAACACAGCTCATGAAATACAAAATCAATTTAATCAATAATCTAAGCAATAAAATGAACAAAAACTGATAGCACAACAGGGATATCCCAGAGATATAATGCTAAAAACATGCTGGTAAAGAGTTGTAGCAGCGTTTTGTTTTGTTTGTTTTTTTCACTGGTGTAGAGCCATTTTATTGTTACCAATAWATGAACAGAAAAGTGATTTCTGCCCACCTACATTTATATTTACCTTGATCCTTTCACCATCAACTTTTACATTTTGTTTTGATTTTCTCTCCAGTCCGAAGCGGAGCAACGAAAAGCGTAACCGCGAGCATGAAAATAAATACATCGAAGAGCTCGCCGAGCTGATCTTCGCCAACTTTAATGACATTGACAACTTCAACGTCAAGCCTGACAAATGTGCAATCCTGAAGGAAACTGTGAAACAAATCCGACAAATAAAGGAGCAAGGTACAATAGTCAACCCATTACCTTTTTTTATTTTTTTTTTATTTTTTTATTTTTTTACATTTTCTTGTAGAAGTTTTAAAAGGGAACAATATATATTGGAATCTTATCGAATTGTATGCTCTAAATAAGGATTTACAAAATTATGTTTGTGCTCGGTATTTTGAATGTTTCAAACTTATCTCTATTTTCACCATGTTTGCACAAACCCCAGCTTTGGATGGCAGCTCTGGTTCGCAGATAATTATTATTAAAAGAGCTGTACAGCTGGTTTAACGACTCATTAAGAGTTTTAAAATGAATCAGAGGTGTTGTTTGTTGCCAGTCTACCAATGTTGAACCATACCTGTAAAAATGGCAGTTGGAATAACTTTCATAAAAAAGATCAGCACTCAAAAGGTGCACTAATCAGACCAGTTTGTGACATCATCTGGTTTTGCATGACTCAGTCAGATGTTATATAAGGGTGAGCAATGTGAATCAAAAATCATGCTTAGGTTCCTTTTTTTTCTACCTTCGACACCCCACCCCCCGTGTCCTCTTCTTCACCCTGAAGGCATCGTTGTGTATACAGAGCAATAGGAGAAGGGATACATCATCCTCTTTAGTTGCCTATAAATGCTGAACATCATGCTCTACAGTGAAGTTTGAGGTTCTCTTCACTGCAACACATCTATTAAGTATGAAGTATAAAAGTTTTGTAGGATGTTATTGATGCATCTTTTTTTTTGCAGCGCATTGAGTTATTGTTTAAAGGGAAACCTCATCACTAAATKAGTCATGCATATTTGGTGCCATATTTATCAATAAATATGTTGCATCAAGTTGCTGTGGTTTGCAGATATCATTCTTATCAAGTCAAACAAAAACAAAGTTATGTTTATGTCTATATGAACGTCTAAAAGCTCATGCTTACCATTAGATGTTTTACACCTACACAGTGATGAGTTCCACAGAAATAAGCAGGGATTGAATGTCACCTTTTTTAAGCGACCCTCTGACGTAATGCTAACAATACTGAAAAATTGAATTACATTTGTCACCTAATGTCTCCCACAGATTTTTGTTGTAGCCTCTGTTCAAATTGTGACAACAGTTGCTATTGAAAACTCTCCCTTTTAATTAATTTTATGCTTTTGACAAGATTTTGATCCTTGTTCATTTTCGTAATAAAAGAAAAGTAGAAAATGCACTTTATTTTCTTTTGCAGGCAGAAAGAAAACTTATATTTTTAGGAGCACATAAACCATTTCTAAATCTGACAGGTCTGTAAATGCTGCCCATCTGGCCAGAGGAGTATGAGATTATCTATAAATATATAATCTACTACAGAAATCATCTGTAACCCACCTCAGAGTGACAACAGCAGTGTTTTATCTAATCAGCGTACTCTGTCGGCACATGATCACCTGAAACATACGTTGAAATTTAACAGGGCTGAGTGGCAGATAGCAGTGTAGCTGTTTAACTATGTTGGAAAGAAGCAGCYTAAAAGTCAGGGACCAGAGCTGAAGTTCGGCTTCAGGCGTTATTGAATTTCTTGCCAAACTTGGCTAAATGGCTGCCTGTTCAGAATATTATGCCAAAACCTTTAGATTGAATTTAGTTTGGTTTTAGCCAAGACTCTTATGAACAGTTTAGATGTTTAGTTATTTTTTTGTTTACCTCATAAGCTCACTTGCGTAATGGGAATTAGTGAATCACTGTGAGAGAACAATAAAAAGCAAAACCACTTGAAGCTAGGTTAGTAACTTTAAAAGGGTAGCCTCAAGCTAACAATGTTAGCATCAATGAACTGGGCAGTGAGCTCAGCCGCTGTTGTAAAGTTCCTTTTTTCCCTTACTTTTATAAGTCTATCTTGAGACTTGTTTTCTTTTTTCATTAAAATGTCACTTTATTTAGCATTTTTCACCATATTAACTACACACTTAAAATGTAAACTGTGACATATAGTCAGTGACAACACAAACATCTCAATGAGAAACTGGAAAATTGACTTGTAACCACAGAATTTTTTTAAATATAAATAATAAGAAAAGTGGCTGAACAATTGCTTAAATCCTTCTGGCCTTTTAGCATTTTTTTGTGAATGACATTTGCTTTTAAAGTAACAACACAGCCAACATTTAGCCAGCTTTTTGTACTGTGATGGCAGAAAAGAGTGATTACAATCTATTTACTTGAACTGATGGTTGAAATGGTCATTAACTGGCTTCTGCTGTTTAGAATATTTTTATTTTTATTGTTTGGTTGCCTTCAGATCCAGGCCTCTCTTGCAAAGGAGATCTGTGATCTCAGTGGGTTTTGGCTGATTAAATAATTTACCAAAGAGTAAAATACATTGCAAATCAGCTATTGAATTTAGGAGTGAGGAAATCCTATATGGCAAATGTCTTGCTAGATGCATACTGTGTAGTTGTTAATATGTTACACAATCCTTTTATTTGATCGATTGCTCCTGCGATCAGTGGCAGGATGCCACAGTTTCTGCAGTGAGACAGAAAGCCAGTGAAGGCGGCCATGACGCTGACTGATGGGTCTGTACTCAGGGCAGCTGTGTTGGTCTACAGGGCCCCATTGGGCTTGGAGAGGCCCTGCTGATACACATCATTAATGCTGAGAGAGATGAATATTTGTCTGCGGGCTGTTGCACAAACGGAAAACCTTCGTTTGTGTTCACTTTCACACATCTATACCTGTAAACGTGGAACCACACAGTTGGGTTTGCTTTTCTCCACAATTTCTATTTATTTATATATTTTTGTTCACCATATGGTCAACCCTCTTCTTGGCATGGCGTGTCCGGTAAATGCTTCTCCCCCCACCACAACAGCCCACTCGTATTCCGCCTCTCCTCGTCGACTGAGAAAAGTAGGGCAGACCACACTCTGAACATACGGCCCCTCCACATGTTTATTAACCCAGTCACATGGACAAATGCATAGCACCAGAATGTAGGTTCAAGAGCACGGAGAAAACTCCAGTCATTTGCGTCAAAATGAAGCAATCACAATTCTTAAATCCAAAAATATGTGTTTTATGTCACTCTTACTGGATCAACTAGATCAGTGATTCCCAACCAGGGGTACGGGAGCTTATTACAGGGGGTACGTGGAAAAATTTCCCAGGTGTGTAAAATCAAAAAAGAAAAATAAGACTGGGTATGGATATGTAGGGCCCTATGATTTCCGCACTGCAGAAAATGCAGACAGAATCACGGAATTGATACAAAATGGAWTCCTGTATAAAACGCGGAATCTCAGAATTTGCTCATTTGGGTGAGTTTCTGATGTATTTTAGACGCTGCTGCTTTCTTCACCTGCCATTACCTGGTTTATTCATTTAATTACTTATTCACTTTTAAGGCAACATTTTTTATCTTTGTTTAAMTTGAGTTGAGAAGAATAAAATGCCTGAGAATTAAACATTCTAGGGGGTTAAATAAATAATTTTCATTTAATAATCAGTTGTTGTACATTATAGTTTTGGAGAATCATCATTACGTTTGACTGAGGTGTACTAGTGGTATGACAAAATGGCTGAGGGGATACACAAGTCAAAAAAGGTTGGGAACCACTGAACTAGATGATAGTGAAGGATGCAAAAGTCGATCATGTTGCCTTAAGATATTTCAAGTATCAAGTGATTTACTATCAAAACATTTTCAAATGCTGAACTAAAAGGATTGACCCAAACTTGACGTATAGTTTTAGCTGTTTTAGTATTTTAATACTCTTTGTGCAAACATAAATTTATTTTTAGTTGTATTTTTAGTTGGGTTTCTCCACTTTTTCTTTTCTGCTGGACACAATCAAAACAGCTTGTTCATTTTTCGTACAGGAGTTGTTTGCACACCGTCTCTGTTRCGTAATAGTTTTTTTCTTTTTGGCAAACAACAGTGTTATTTATCCTGTGGCTGTCACCAGTATGGCAGTCGTGTGCTCTGACACGCTCATTTACAACAACCTTTGACTCTGATCACTGTCCTGTTTGAATTTGAGCCACAAAGTATTTGCCCTTTTTTTTTTTTTACCAGATATCAAATGTTTAAATTATCAGCCAATGATCTGAAAGTATTTCTGAGGAAATTTTTTTAAACTTTTTTTCCCTCCGTTTTTATTTTGTGTAAAAGTTTCGTGGTCTTGTTGAATTTGATCCCTTCTTCTGATTCTGATAAGAAGATTTTTGTCTTGTTTGCTGTCTTGGTAACAGAAAAAGCTGCAGCAGCAAACGAGGAGGAGGTACAGAAGGCTGATGTCTCATCGACAGGCCAAAGTGTCATTGACAAAGATGCTTTGGGACCGATGATGCTGGAGGTGGGTGGAGTACCATTTTTATTTTTCCTAATTCATCGTGTTGTGTACGTGTTCTAAAGTGTGACTCTGACTGAAGTCACTCACTCTGACACTCGCAAAGCCTAAACTCTCCTCTTTAAAACATGATTGATATATAATGAAGTGTGCCATCCACAGAGAACAATCACAAATGTGCCGGCACTGGTTATGTGTGTAGAGGAGAAGCTGCCAGCATCTTGTATCTGCCACTGATTGGCTGTAAATCACCAAGCAGAGCAATGGCCTCGTTGTACCACGGAGAGCTACTGAAGTGCTTACATATAATGGGAAAAGAAGCAACAGCCCCGCGAATGAATCAGTCCATTGAGCCTGTCCTCTCACCCACCCCTCCCTCCTACTTGTTCAGATCTCTTTCCCTCCCRGTCCTCACTCGGTTCGCCTCTAGATCTGTCCTGTCATGGAATATTTATAGCACTCGTGGTCCAGCGTCACCGAATCGACATACTAACTCGCGGCTAAATATAACCCAGTGCAGCCTGCGAGCTTTCCCATCTGTCAGCAGCCCCAAAACACCAACAGCGATAGGCCATTCACACCCGCTCCTCTCTGGCCATTTCCCTGCTCCTGCGAGCCGGGACTCACTTCTGCCCGCTCTAAGGAGAATGGCTGCTGGCAGGAAATGCACCCACGCGGCCCATGACCCCTCCTCCCGAGGCCTATTGCTGCCCAACCTCATGCAAACGCAGAAAGACGACGACGGCTGTGATGAAGCATTAGTGTGATATTGTTTTAACCTTCTTGAATCAGTCTTGTCGTATTACATGACCACTGTTACATATCGTTTGCATTCTTGGTAGATTGCTCCATATGGTTAAAGTTGTGTTTTCACAACAGTGGACAAGTTTAGTGTCAAAACATCTAGACTGCAGCTGCTAGACATACAATAAATGTCTTAACTAGATGTAAGGGTATGGATCTTATTAAATGTATACCTTCGTTTAACTCAGCTCTTTCTACAAGTTTAAGTCCATAAATGATGTTTTAGCAACAGCAAAGATTCATCACTTGTTTATTTAATCTGGAAGGCAAAAAACATAGAATCACACCAAGACAAAGTTGAACTGATACAGTTCACGTAATACTTATTTGGAATGCATTGAGTTGTATTATCCTTACTCACCTCTCCAGTGTATATTTAGTGAGTACATTGCAAATGAAAGTATTGGCTAACACCATTGCGCAATATTGTCTGGAGGAGGCTAAGTGTTGGCACTATAAAGTGTTTGTTCTGTCCAGTCCAGGTCCTTTCCTCACACAGGATGGACTTGCACAAGCATGTTGCATTTTTGGAGAAGTCTCAGTTAATGCACTGATAGATGAGATGCCTTCAAGTTTGGGGAAAAAAACCTCATCTTGGATGAGATGTATGAGCGTACTTCAAATGCTAAATCTAGTCCAGCGCTCAGCTGCAGACATGTCTGACAGTAGTTTTGGAGACAAAAGTATATTTTTAGTTCTTTACAGGATGCTGTGTCAGGAGTGACGAAACTAAATGATTAGTGATTTAGATCTGCAAAACACACTGAAACATTTCTAATTATTGCCATATCAATGCACACAACATCAATATTACAATACTGTTTTATTCCAAGTGTCATACAATCAAACTTTTCATAACAATAATACATTTGGGTTGAGTTTTGGTAATACTGTGATGGCTGAACAGAAAGAGATGAATGGAGATTATTTCAACTGATAATGCAATATTTACCAATCGCCATCATGTGTTTTCAATATTCTACAGCTCCTATTGGAATTAACACCATAAGGTTTTGCGAGTTGACAAATGTATGCAGAGGCGCAGACATTTTGAAAACGGTCTCTTGTGTTTTATCTTGACAACCAGCCTTCACTGCTTTGGAAGCGCTGGCATGCTCCCCCCCTAAGGGCTCTGGGTGATTTGATGGCCTAATTGACACCATCTTGTAATAGCTGACCTGGGGCTGTGTTTTTTTCAATTAAGTGCAGCTCCTCCTTCACATCCTCCAATCTCTGCTGGCGCATGCCTTTATCCTGCTTTCTATCAGCTCTCTACCGACGAGGAGCCTTCCAGGAGTGCTACATAGCGTACTAATTGTTTCCTTGTAATGTATTATATACAGTATTACACAGTTGTTTTAGCGTGAGCGTTCTCTGAAGACTAAATGTTAGCATTTCTTAAAGAAATTCATATCGCACACTTATCTTATGAAGAGGAGAGATGGAGTTGTAGCCATTTTGTTCAAACCTTGTAAATAATTTTATACATACAAGAATTTTTGGCTCTTGCAGTATGAGGATGACTCTACTACTACTCCAAATTTTAGCCTAATACCTGTAAAATAGTTTGAGGAGAATTGGGACTGTGAAATATGTGTGAATAAATGAAAGGAATAAACTTTTCTGGTCTAAAATTAGTTTTTTCTTCTCTGCAGGCTCTTGACGGTTTCTTCTTCGTGGTGAACATGGAGGGCAACATCGTGTTTGTGTCTGAGAATGTGACCCAGTACCTGCGCTACAACCAGGAGGAGCTGATGAACACCAGCGTGTACAGCGTGCTGCACGTCGGAGATCACGCCGAGTTCATCAAGAACCTGCTGCCTAAATCCCTCGGTCAGCCTGGAGCTTTGAACCTTTCTCGTGCCTTTTTTTAATTTATTTTTTATCCCTGTCTGTTTCTGTCTCACTGTGTTGCTTGAGCTCCATCTCACCGTTTGCTCCTGCCTCCACAAAGATGGACGTAATTCCTCTATCTTTGCATCACCTTTGTGCAGGGGTGCACCGATTGCAGGTTTCTGGCCGATCACTGATCTATAAAAAGTCTAACCTGCTGATTTTGATTTTGGCTGATAGCAATTTTTCTTAACAGACACTGCCAGGTGTTGTAAGGTCTATGTACCAATTTTATTTTATTGAAAAAAACACCACCCTTGAAACAATACAAACTTGTCTTAACTGGACATGAAATATAAATTAAAAGTTTAGAGCACGGCTGTTCAAACGTCTAAATTAACTAAATTAGAACAAATCAGTTCCATTAAGTCGTTTGTTTTTCACATTTTAAAAATAAAAGTTGTGGGCAGGGTCTGTGTCACCCCCCTCTCACAACAGAGCAAAAGAGGACAGTGGCTGATTTTTATTTTTGCGGAGGTAGATAAGATCTGTGGATAAGATCTCATTGGGCGATCACCCAAAATTAAAGAAATCACTGCCGTTGGACTTCTTGGTGCACCCCTACCTTTGTGCTTCCTTAACCTGCTTTATCTGCAGGAATGTTGTACTTGGTAATGTCATTTTATTTGGAATATTCATGCCTAAATTTCTGCATGGAAAAGCTGGCACGCAAAGATTTGGCAGTGATCATAAAACCTACAGGTTCTTTTTTTTTCTTTTGCCATAGTTCAACCCAGACTTTTGTTCTCACTRTTCTCCTCGTTCTTTCTCCCTTTTCAACTAATTAACTTCCTTTTTTAGGCTTCTCTCCCCTGTCAGCAGCATCTTGTTCTTCCTATATTCTCATTCCATGCCCTTCCTACTCCTTCTTCGCTTTTTTTTGTGTGTTATTCTCTTTCTCTTTCACACACTCTCATTTAGTTCCTTTTTTAAATTATTCTCACTTTCCTGCTCACCCTTGATATGCTTTGTGCTGCTATTACTCATCAAATACAAACAAGAGAATTATTTCTTTTAAGATGTCATTTGATAATTTTTCATATCTGTTTTTTGCCAGTTACTTTTTCATGCTCACATCCTTTTAACACCCTCTACCTCTACGCTTTCTAGTTGGGATCTTTTAGCCCATCAGGTGKTCCAAGTCCTCCTTTCCTTCTCGGTTGGTGCTCCGGATTGAGGTCTGAGCACCCAGCCATCTGGGTGGGAGAGCAGCGCAGAGCCGAGTACCCTGGAAATGATCACTGGGCCGCGTCCCAGATACTGGGAGATTATCAGTGCACCCGAATGAGATCACAAACCAGATGGAGTGTGATGGGAGTTTGCTAGAATTAAATGAGTTTGACTGTACGACTGTACGTGTTTTTATCTTGGTGTGTGTGCGGATGTGCCTTTCTCACGCCTGGGTAAGTGTTGGAGAGGAGAGAAGAAGAAGAAAGATTGGCAATGATYTTCTGGAGGACATGCATATGGAGGCCTGGCTGTGATGCATATCTGTGGATAGATGGCTCAGGGTTCCAACTGCTCATTACGACTGATCTCTACCCAGCAACAGCTCGCCTCTTTTTGCACTTCCTCTGCCTTCGTTCTCTCCCTCGCTCCCTCTCATTATGTCTTTCACTTGCAGCATGATAGCCTCTCTTGGCTCCTTCTTTGCAGACTCCATGTTTTTGCTGCTCAGTTGTTGATGTTTTTTTTTAGTCACAGAAAATTTTGTCAAGCAAAACTCCCCAAGAGGCCACATTTTAAATCTTCTCTGCGTCTCTCTCCCCCCGCAGTGAACGGCGTCCCGTGGTCCAGCGAGGGTCCGAGGAGGAACAGTCACACGTTCAACTGCAGAATGCTCGTCAACCCGCACAGCGAGAACCAGGACGAGGCGCACGAGCACGAGCCCCAGCAGCAGAAATATGAGACCATGCAGTGTTTTGCTGTTTCAGAACCCAAGTCCATCAAGGAGGAAGGAGACGGTATGCAGGGGAGGTGGGGGGTGGGGGGTTTGGAGTATCAGTTGACAGTAGTGACCTTTATAAAATAACCTTTAGGTTTAGTTCTCAAATGTATAGAAACACACTGAACCGCCTCTGTGCTTTTTAAATTCTTTTTTACYCTTTTAACCATCATTCAGTGTTGTGTAAAAGTTTTAAAGCATTGTTTGATGAGCTGAACTTCGGTAGTGGTTCTCAAGGCTTTTTAAACGTCTTTTAAAGTTTTTCCAATAACTTTGGCTGCTTTTTTTAACCAATTTTCAGTGCGGTTTTCAGTATTTTTTTTTTTTGTAAAAAAAACAAAACATTTTTTGTTAAGGTATTTTGACCTTTAAGTCACTCACCCATCAAAACATCCTAAACTCATAAGAATGAGCTTGTGTTAAATCAACGTAACGGACAATTTAAATAGTTTTATATTTTGTATGTCTCTGATCTTTTTTTTGTTTGTTTTTTTGTTTTGTGACATCACTGGGTATCATGGCCAGTTCTCCAGATCGATTCGATTTTGATTCATAAGGTTCTGAATCGATTAATCCATGGGGAAGAATCGATCACATGCCCTGTGAATCGATTTTCCCCAGTTTAAACAAAATCGATCCAAGATAGATTAAATCGATTTTTTTTCTACCCAGCCCTATTTTTTACTATTAACCTGTCACAAAAATATAATTTATAATTTAATATTGCTAGTAGTTTAGCACCAGAAAGGCAAACCCTAAAGAACTAATTGCTAAAAACCTGACATACAGTAGATGACCAGCTGAAGGATGATGCATCTCTCAGGTTTTTATTTCACTACATCTTACAAAACTGGATTTGCTGTAAATATTTTAAGTCTGACACGTCTTTATTGTCCCACTTGTCCATTTTTCTCTTTTTTTTTTTTCATTTTTTAAAGCACTGAAATGAACGATATACTGTCGTGGTTTATTACAAGGACCGAGCAAATGAATGGAAAAAGCGGCCAAAGTTTGAATAAAAACTTTGAAAGACCTTCACAAACCCTGAAAAACTATTGATCAAACCATTTTAAAAGATTACCAGAAAGTCTGGCTCCTTGGAAAGAAATATAAATGAGTTTGGAGCTGTTGGTGCATTTC